TTCTCCTCACACACTTTGTTATTACTGCTGGCAAATTAGATTGGCAGATTTTAATCTTTGCTTCTCTTATTTCCCCTGATGCCAACAACTGGGAAAAGGTTTCCAAGTAGATTACAGTCGAAACTGACTGGTATTCCAGAATTCAGTTTGCCAACACCATAAACATGCAAAAAGAAAAGTATGCAAAACTGATAGGCCGTTATGCTTCCTGGGGTGATTATCATAGTCACAAGAGGCCTTGATAACACTAAGTAATTAATCCTACAGCCATTTTCATTATCTTCATTTTCCTAGAGACTAAAGCTATAGAGAAGCACAAAACAAGGACATTTGCCCATTCAGAACATGGGTAAATCGCAATATGATTAATTCCCTGCTTTCTAGGTCCAGTCACTGGAGGGCTGTTTTAGGCACTAACGATATGGCAGTCATCAAGCCAGAATCTTTACTCTCATGAAGTCTAAACTAGACATCTGAAAAGACAAATACAAAAAGCAACATTGGTTTGAGTGCGTGCGTGTGTGTGCGTGCGTGCGTGCGTGTGCGTGTGCGTGTGCGTGTGCGTGTGTGTGTGTGTGTGTGTGTGTGTGTGTGTGTGTGTGTTCTACCACTTAAACCATAGATCCACTTGCAGCCTTTTCTTTTTTTTTTTTGGTAGTTAAGAGATGCCTCAGATAGCTTTGAACTGTGATCCTCACATTTCAGCCTCCTGAGTAGTTAGGATTATAAGTGTAAGCCACTGGGGCCCCCATACAACCTTATGTTTGAAAGAGTAAAATGTACTAGAACTTGCAACTGGGGAACAGAAATAGGGCAGAGAAAGATAAACATGCCCCAGTTGCAAGAAGTTGGGAAGAGAAGACAGTTTAGTGCTATACAGCCTTGCAACTCAAATGATACTCAGGAAATCTCAAAGTGTTGGTTTACCAAAAAAATGACTTGGAGTTCTTTTTCACATTTTCCAATTTCTACGAAACTATGATTATTTCCCAAGCCACATGTGTCACAGAATAAGCCTCCTAACCCAGTTAGGCCAGCCAGTTGCCCACAATTACCCTCGGCATCCTACCAAGGCCATATTCTGAGTCAGACAAGAAAGATTAATGGTCTCATGGAACATACTCCCCCATAAGTGCACAAATACTACTGTGTGTGTGTGTGTGTGCATGAGCATTAGTGCAGGTGTGGGTAGAGATAGCTCTTCTCTGCTTGACAAGGCCCAAAACCAAGCAAGGGTTCAAAACCCATTTATGCATTATTCTCTAGAATGAACCTTATTTTCCATATAGTAAAAATGTATTTTTCCATCAGGTGAGAGAGAAGAAGCAAAATCCTCATAGGACACTACACAGGTAATACGCTACACATACGCTAATCTCCACCTAAACAAAAGTCATCCAGCTACTACAGAGTACAAAATGTTATTCTGTTAGAAAATCTAAGAAACTGACTACTTTTCATGGGGGTCTTGGCAGAGATAAAGGGATGCTGCTCATGTTCTGCCTATTGATACTAGCACACAGAGAGTTCACTTTGTGAAGCAGCAACAGCTGTATACTTACACACACCACCCTGCGTATTCAACTTTCATCAGATTTCTTTTAAATTTAGCTCCCTAACAGTCTGTAGTTTATTACTATCTTAGGTTCCTCTCTTCTTGAGACATTACTCCAAAACTACTCAGAGCTGCGATTTGTAAGTGCAACGTAAATAAAATCTGCAGGTCATGTGAGGCTTTCCTAACGTATCACTGATCAAGTAACACCTCTGAACACATATATAAAGCCACTTTTAGATCACTTATTGAAAAAAAACAATTATATGTACAGAAGTGCATTTTTAATCAAGTCTTCAGAATAACAGTACCTTTACAAAGGGATACAAGGAAAGAGAATTCATGGCCTCTTTTTGCAGTGGTGAGGGTTTTGCTACCCAGGAACTCTACTACCTCAGCCATGCCTTCAGCCTTTTTGCTTTAATTGTTTTTCAAATAGAGTCTTGCATATATGCACAGGCTAAGTTTTGTCACTATCCTCCTATTCAGGTTTCTTATCTAGCTGGAGTAACAGAGACAAGCTACTCTACCAAACTTTATATTGGATGAGGTCTAGGTTAGCCAAAAGCTTGCTGTTCCTAGTTTCTACCTGCCAAATAGCTAGGATTACAGTTGTGAGCCACCAGGGCCAGTTAAGATTTTCTTAAACATTACACTTTCAAAACCCTCAAGATTCATACATTTGACTATCACCCAAAATCGATGCTAGTTACATTTTTTACTATCACAAATGAAAGAGTCAAATCTATTTTACATATTTTTTTCTTCCCTTGGTTATACTTGAACATGAGTAACAATAAAGAGAAATCCGATAGAGCAGGAATATGGAGGCAAGTAAATCTCCAAAAATTCAACTTAAGAATGTCCCCAGTGCACTTCTTCAAGACTGCTGGCTCACCTGTACTAATTTTTCTCCTCCCTCTGCCAAAACTCCTGAAGTAATTTCTATTAGCAAAAAGATAGGACCAAAGTCCATTCCAAAACCTGGAGCCTGACAGCTTCTTGGGTCTAGCTGAAAATTTATTCACCATAATAGATTTTATTTTGTGACTATTCCTTTGATAAAACAGATCATCTTAACACATCTTTTTTAATTTACATATTGAGAATCAGGACTGTCTAATCAAATACTTAAGTAATTAAGACAGCTCACACTTCACCACTTACTTGAAGACTAGTTTAAAAAAAAAACCTTTGGGCTGGGAAGGTGGCTTAGTGGTAGAGTGCTTGCCTTGCATACATGAGGCCCTGGGCTCAATCCCTCAGCACCACATAAGCAGAAAAGGCTGGAAGTGGCGCTGTGGCTCAAATGGTAGAGCACTAGTCTTGAACTAAAGAACTGAGGGACAGCACCTAGGCCCAGAGTTCAGGCCCCAAGACTGACCAAAAAAAAATTTTTTTAAAGACATAGATGGGTGGATGCTATCAATCACAAACAGCAATCTTCTTGCAGAGGTTTTATTTAGAGTACATTCTCAGTCACCATTCCTTCTCTTCTACTCTTGTCACTAAAGGCTATGCACTAAGAAAGAAAGGCATTTTGACATATGCCAAGATACTGCAGGCTACATACATAGACAGCTTTCAACTTTATCCTGGCACACAACTGATATGCATTCAGTAGAAATCATACTTCTTTAAATTTGGATCTTTCCCCAGACTGGTGAGAGGCAATATGCTCTACACTCTTACAAGGTTCCCAAGCAAGCAGCAAGCCACAGCTTCTAGTGAACCACAGAATCACAAGTCAATGACCAATCCTCAACAGCAAACCAGGTTGCTATTATATTTGTTAGTTTGAGTGTTTAAGTGTACTTTCAACTTACAGTATTTCCAACTTACAATGGGTTTGTGTGAGTCTTGGAACACCTGCACACATCTCTGGGCCTGGATCATAGAATGACTCCAAGCATGGGCTTTCATTGGGTAATATAGATGACTGCTGTATAATCTTCATTTTCCTCCTCTCTAAAATAGGCATACCAGTTATCCCTACCTGACCTTGTGCCTATGGAAATCAGGTGAAATACTGCTCGTAAAGCAATTAGCCTGACATTTTGTAGAATGCCAATCACTTGTAACTATGTTTACAGCAGCCATAATCAAAACTTTTCTCCTGAGAGATGATTTCATAGTAGCACTTGAAAAGAATGCAAAATTCACAGACACTAATACTCTGCCTAAACAAAAAGGAAAATTACCTTTTAAAAGTCATCATTCAACTAAACTGTATATTCAAAGACTTCCTTTGAGTACAGGCTGGCTTCTTGCCAGTCTATGCCTTTAGAACAACTATATTATCAATAGCTTAAAAAACAAAAACACAGAAGCCAGGCCCAAAGAAACATAGGTCCCATGGTTTCCCTTATTTGCAATAACTAGTATATGTCTGAGTCAAGCAGAATAGGTCAGATAAGGTGATATTAGGGAAATGAACCCTAAGATCTGTATTCAAATGTTTTTTTCTTTCATACGATTGTTTCTAACATATTTATAAGATTATTTCTTTGTTGCTTTGTATGTCCCTCCCCCACAGTATAACCCCTGCTTTTACTGTATTTGATGTTGGTATAATTTGTGGAGGGGAAGGGAAAAACAAATCGTTTAAATAGGGTTACGGGTTGACCCATTGCAACAATGAGATGTACAAATCGTTATGTCGAAAAACGAACTTTACAACTTTGGTGGGGGGGAGGACGGGAAGGGATGGGAAGGGGAAACAAAGGAGGAGGCTACAATGCTTGATAAGAAATGTACTCATTATCTTGCCCATGTAATTGTAAACCCTCTGTACAGTACTTTCACAAAAAATAAAAAACAAAAACACAGACCCTGGACTTTGGAATAACCTGACACAAACCACTTACCCTGGTCTGAACCTTAGTCTCCTCACCCCAAAAATGGGAAGAAGAATGCTCAAGCATCAGCTATTACTGATGTTTCAGATATTATTTGTAAAATGCCCACCAGTAGCTTGAGCATTAAAAGTGAATTCGTTTCAAGCAAGTAAGTCATCAAGGGTTTATCAAAAGCAGAAGAAAAAAAAAAACTGTAAGAGAACATGTCCCCTCTTTCTACTTCATTCTTCCATTTCTGCAGCATTCTTACAGCTTGCCTTGAGTTCTAAGCCAATGTGCTCCTCCCACAGCTACAGAAGTTGAGGGCCTGATTTTGTGAGCATCCATTATCTTCTGCTAACCTCCAAATACAGACCAGTAGCTTGTACAAAGACAGTAATAAATTGATGCAGGGAAGTCCAACTGCCAGGAGGATCTAACCTGAGACAAGCAGACCCACCAGAAAGAGAAGACTAGAAATGCTCCAGGCTACAAACTATTTTAACTACCAATTGGAGAATTTTTTTTTTCAGAACACTGTTTTGCTTCACTTATTTCATTGCCTGCTTTCAAGTCAGATAACATTGATATATGAGACGGAGGCTTACCTATCGGCAGGATTTCTTCAGAACCAGCCTAGAAAGCAAGGGGAAAGTAAGAAAAAGAAACAGTTACTGGGTTTCATCTTATCACCTTATGAGCTGTATTTCTACCATTAATGCTTTTGAGGACCTGGCTAATCAGGAGACCTAGAGACTGGACTGCCTCAAGGTTACACCTTGGTTTTTAGAAGGTTCTGGTGACAGAAGCATGAGCCAATTTCAATAACAATTTGAGGGAGAGGAAGGGAGAGATGTTAGCTAGCTTTCATTTTAATTTAACCCTATTGATGCCTGAAAAAAATTTTTTTTTTAAAAATCAACAAAGGGATTTGGATTCAAAAGTCTCTCTGAATGTAACCAGGCGAACAGACGTCTGCCAGGGGGCCCTGATTCACGGGGAATCAAGTAGACAGCTTCCCTACGTTTATCCCCTGGTCAAACTGGACAGCCCAGAGAAGCTACCAAAACTCACACAGAGTCACCACTCAAAAGTTCCACCCGGCCAGAGCCGTCGTGATTGACTGCAAAAGGTTCTTGCCCAGCTGAACCTCCTGTAGGGGCTTGCATAGAGCACCCCGGCTTCACCTGGAGTCTCCACGGGGTGGGGGCAGGGCCGAACGAAACAGAGCTGCACTCAATTTAGCTTTTTCTTTTTTTTTTTTTGTAAGAGGAGGAGTTGTACGGAGGGGGAGGGGAGGGATGAGGCGGGGCGAAGGGCGCCTCCATCCTCAGCCCCGCACCACGCAGGGAGGAAAGGTCCTCGGTCCCCACCCCCCCACTCCCCAACTGTCAAACTCCAGCCTGGCGGCGATCCTCCCGGGACACGTGTCTACGGGCCACGGGGTATCCCCACGATTTCCTGAACCAGCCCCCCCCCAACCACACACACACACACACACACACACACACACACACACACACACACACACACACACACACACACACACACACACACACACACACACACACACACACACACACACACACACACACACACACACACACACACACACAATCCCAGACAGCGGATGCTCGAAAGCGCCCAGAAAAAAAAAACCCTCGACTCGGGCTGCAGCAGCCCGAGCACTTGGATCCGAGTCCACAACTTCATTCAACACCCCGGGGGTCCGGGGGGGTGGTGGAGCCAGAAGGCCAGGCGAGGATGCGATCAGGCTGCAGTCACTCGTGGGAGGTTACGCGTGCCAAGGAGGGGGTGAAGCCCCAGGTGGACCACCACCCCCACCCCCACCCCACCCCAAAAGGCCCCTCCAACACCGGTCCTGAACGCCAGAAAACCAGGAGGGGTGGGAGGAGCGGAGGGGAGGAGGAGAGGTAAGGAAGGAACTTTTCTTTTTTCGGGTTGGAGTTTCTTATCATTGTCGTTACGGTTAGGATGAGCCACTTACTTGTCCATCCGCTGCAGTCCTAACCTCTACCAGAGCGGCTGCTAGCAACCAAAGTGACAGGAGAACCATCCCGAGTCGAGTTCACTTTTCAACTACTGGGCAAAGCAAATCCCCCCGAAGTTTCTTGTAGGAAAAAAAAAAGAAAATGGATAAAAAGAAAAAAAAAAACACACGAAATCTTCAGTGCTTTGGTGCGGTGAGGAGCCCCGCGCCGCGGCCGGCGCCCCCCTCCCCTCTCCCCGCCGTCCCGCCGCGAGTGTGCGCGCAGCGGGAAGGTGCCGGCGCCGGGCTCGGGCTGCGCGGGCAGACGGGGCTCGGACGCGGGGCGCTCCCAGCTACCTCTGCCCGAAGCGGCTTCGGCGAGGCTTTCCTGGCACCATAGGCTCCCTAAGGTGCGCGCGGAGAAGGCTCGGGGTTCCCCCAACCCGATCGCGGCGGCGGCGGCGGGGAGGAAGAGTTCGCCAAGGAGAGCGGAGCCGGAGAGCAGAGCCGCGAGCCGGAGCGCCCCGGCCGCGCACGCCGAGAGGGGCGGGAGCAGCCGGGGAGGCCGAGGAGGAGGAGGGAAAGGAAGGAGGAGGAGGGAGGAGAACGAGCGGGCCGCTGGATCGCCGGCTCCCGAGGCTCGCGCTGCGGCCGTCTGCGAGCTGCAGGCGACCCGCGCGGGGCGCTAATAAGGCGGCCCGAGCCCCTCCACCTCCCCCCCCCCCTTCCCGCGCCCCGGGGCGGCCCCTCCCGCCGCCGCGCCCACGTCACGCGGGGCCCCCGCGCCCCCCGCGCACCGCCCGGGGCTGCACACCAGCGCAGCGCTGCACGCCTGCACGCGGGGCTTCTGCAGCCCGAGGCGCGACCCCGCGTCCCAAGGAGGGGAGGGGAGGGGAGGGGGGCGCCGGCGTCCGGGACTGGCGGGACGCGCGTTAATTATAGGAAGGGGGAGGGTCCCCGGGCCAGTCTGGGGCTGTAGGAAATTCACATCCTCCAGCCTCACCGTCCCCCCCCCCCTTTCCCCACTCTCCCCCCCCACCCCATCCCTTCTTCCAGCCCGGGAGAGGTCTCCGCAGAGAAACCATGGAGCGTCCAAGTTTGAAGGACGTGGTGATTTTGTGATTTTAGGATTTTTTATTCTCTCCAGACACTCATCACCTCCCATGGTTTGGGGGATGGGAGGGGTCTCTCCTGTCCCTCCAGTTTTCTCTCCCTCCTCTACCCCTCCTCTCCCCCTCCTCCCCATTCCTCTCTCTTCTCTCTCCTCTCTCCTCTAAGCTCCTGTTTATGCTTTATTCGTTTATATTCGTTTTAAAAGATAATCCTGGCCCTTTCTTGACTCAACCGGATGCTTTCGTTTATCTCCAGAGCACACTGCAGGCCTCAAGGTCTCTTGCTCATACCAAGATTACGTTATCAAAAGATTTCTGCCCAAGGTGGCTTGAGGCTTCCTAGAAGGAAATGACAGCAAAGGCTCTGGGAAAGAGAGCCTCCTCTTTCCACACCAGGAAAGACCGAGGTGAGGTGATGAGGCACAAATCTGAGATATTATCTTCCAGACTTGACCTAGAAAAAAGGCTTCCAGGGGACCTGCCTGAAGTCAAACGTGCACACACTGAAGTTTGTTTTGCTATGAAATGCTTCTATATGTCATATTTCCTGTTCTTTTTTTTTCCTTTCAAAGCAGTAGCTTTCATTTTTTTATTTCTCAATCGCCAAAGGAAAGTTTGATGTGTTAGCTGAGTCTTCTCAAAAATCAGATACATCATGGGTAAATGAGAAACTAGTTAACTATATGGCCAGACTTACGAATTTAATGTGTTAGAGTTTATTATTAGTTAGAATCAGGATTAGACCCAGGTACTGAAAGATCTCTGGATTTACTTGCTATCCAAGAATGCATTACTAAATTTTGCATTTGGTTTTTACTATTCATTAAAAAAAGAATAGCTTTAAACAATGTATAAATTAAAAGTTTGTCACTGTACACTGACATTAAGAAAATACTAGAGTAGGAATCAGGAGACCTAGGTTTTACTCCCCTTAACAGCTGTCTTAGAACCTATCTTGGTAAGTCATTAGAATTCTACTTTGGTTTCTCTCCCCTGAGGTATTTCAGCTCTAAAATTTTCTCATTTAAAATAATAGAAAGTAATGTACTTACAGAGTCATTATGACATAACTTCTGACACAGCAATTCCTGTGACTTTCAAAAAAGTAGTGCCTTTGGGAAGTTTGGTTATACCCATGTGGAGAAACACATTCTCCCCACCCCACCTCCCCCCACAAGGGCAATAATCTTTTTTTAATGTTTTTTATTGTAAAAATACTGTACAGAAGGGTTACAGTTACATAAGTAAGGTAATGAGTACATTTCCTATGAGCATTGTTATCTCCTTTGTTTTTCCCCTACCACCCCTTCCCTCCCCCCCCAACTCCTCCCCCCCCCCCAGTTGTAAAGTTCATTTGTAACTTAGTGTCTTGTACATCTCATTGTTACAATGGGTCAACCTGTATCCTTATTTCAGCATTTTGTTATTTCTCTTCCCCTCCCCAAATGTATATACAAGATGCAGGGCACCAGAATCAAATACAGTGACAACAGGGGGAAGAACATAGAAGAGAAACAAACAAAAAAAATCATAGTGCATGTTAAATATGTTAAAAACAATAGCAAGAAAGAAAAAACCACTTGTGTCCCTATCTTGGGGTTCATTTCACTAAACATCATCTTATATGGTCATATGTACATAGCTTTTGACCTTTTCTGCTTGTCCTAGACTTAAACTAGTTACTGCGAATAAAGGAAACCATGGGACCTATGTTTCTTTGGGCCTGGCTTACTTAATATAATTTTCTCCAAGTCTTTCCATTGAGAAACACATTTTACATCGTGACCCAGTAAAGATATCATGATTCAATACTTACCTGTACTGCATGTACCAACCCTCATACACTCTTTTTATTCCTTTCCATTTTTCTAAATACATACAGAATCCACTGACATGATATTGTTCTGATTTAAGAGTATACGATAGGTTGATGTTTCTTTGATTCTAAGTAACTGATTCTGATTAATAAGTTCCTTTCAATACACTGTACGGCACTTGAGTTTCACTAAGTATTCCTCAAGCTGTTAAAATGTTTTCCTGGGAAAAATTGTTTGCCAGTCAACTAAAGTTTGTGAAATTGTAGACTCATGGACACTTCAGTATCACGTTTATTGATGTTTACATGGAATGCTTTTTCTCATACTTTACATGTGAAATACTACTGGAGAAATACTATTACAATCCCAATTATTATAGTAACTTTAAATAGGTTAGATTTACATGCAGATTTATTCCCAGTGTTCTCAACTCTAAAATAGATTTAATACTAGTTTTGCAAAAGTTTCATGAAAATAAGATGCCCCTGAATTCCTGGGACATTGTCTAGAACACAGTAATGGCTACCGGTAACTTTTTTTTTTTTTTGAGATAACACTGATGTACAAATAATTTACTAGAGTTAGTGGATTCCTTCCACAAAGTGACCCATATCAACCTGCCTGGTCACTTCCATTCCCTCCTTTCCAGGTCTCTTGGACTGTCACTACAGTGTTATTTCCTACAGTTTCCCTACTACATAGCCAAAAAGATGAAATGATGAGGGTTCCACTAATAAACAAAACCACTATGGTAGTATGTTCTCTTTCAAAATAGATTGTAATTTTATAACTATATCAAAAAGGAATCATAAGAATCACCAATATCCATCACTATTTTCATCACATGGAAGTTGCAGAGTACTACCCCTTGAGCCAGGCAAAACTGCTCTTTTCTTTATCACTACCTGTGATAAGCTTTAGTTCATGTCTTGGCATCCTTGATGCCTAAAACAAGCACTGAGGAATAGTAGAGCCAGTACATGGGACCTGCCACTTAAGACAGTAAAAGCTGGACCTACCTACCATACTCTGCCCCTTGCCTGCCCCCTGCATCTCATATAGGATATGAAGCTTATACAATGATAGGTGGAGGTCATAAGAACAACCAAGAATGGTTGTGCTACTCCCTGAGGAAGAAAGTCATTCCCAGCCTCTTCTATTTCCAATGGTCCTGAGTTTTCACTCTGGAGTCAGTCAAGCAAACTGTGTATACATTAGTTCAAAGAAATAACAAAGGCAGGAAGCCTGTG